AACATTAACGGATCTGTCAGGTTTCCGTTATGTGTCCCCCCCCAATGTTAAACTCATTCCTACGCCCCTGCCAGGAATATTCTCCACAACAGAGCGAATTGCATCCCGTGTCTCCATATCCACGGTCGTTTTCAATTTCACTAACCTATCTTAAACTCGGCGCTTAGCGTCTACATCACGGCTCTCAGCCCGCCCTCTGTTCGTTGATTGGCCGACTGTATTCAGTCGGGAGGAAAACTGAGAGATAGGTCGCTATCTCAGACTGAGTACAGAAGCGAACTGAAATTGAGCGGAAGTACGAAGTCTGACGTAGTCAGGCTAGGAGACTGGAGCTTTTGCTTAGAATTTTGAATACCAATCATGCTCAATATTAATCAGGAACTTTACGTGCATTCCCTTTAAATTAATTTTGTCTCACTTTTTAAAATGAATGAAATTGTTTAATGAAGATTATTTAGTGAATAATGATTTATTTTAAAAATGCATTTTTATGATTCTAATACTGAAAAATAGTTAAATGTGTTTTAGTGTAGATATATTAATTTATATTAACTGACTGTTGTCTTTCAGTTTGTTCTGGTGTGTGGCACAAGGGTTGTCTCAAGCAAGCATTTCCTGAGGTATGTCAGATTTACTTTTGTAGGTACCATTACATTTGTTATTTAAAAAAAAATACTGTTAGTTTAACATGTATTCTATTTTTAGGATAAACATGATTTCAGCTCAGAGGATGATAGTGAATCAGATGAGGACATGCATGAAGATAAGGATTATTTACCAGACAGCAACTCTGATAGTTCCGAATCTGATTCGGATGCAAGGTCTCTGGAGGTCTCTACTCTGTCCCAGGGTCCCCTCTCAGGGAATATTGAAACATTTGATACTAGAAAAAAAAACCCAGATGAAACAACAGATGACAAAGCAGGTGTTAAAGGTATAAACTACTGTTACGTTTGTCAAAAGCCTCAGTCTAAACTTGCCAGACATCTAGAGACACACAAGACAGAAGCAGAAGTGATGGAGGCTCTCAGTTTTCCAAAACGTTCAGTAAAAAGACGACGACTTCTGGAGAAATTACGTAATCGTGGTAACTTTCAACACAATGTAGTTGTTCTCAAAACAGGAACCGGGCAAATCAAATTAAAAAGAACTTCTAAGCAGTCTAAATTTATTCACTGTGTCTATTGTAAAGGAATGTTTTCCCGCAAAGAATTGTGGCGGCACTCTCGCAGATGCCACTTCATGCCAGAACAGGCTTCCGGTGGGTTTGCAAAGCCCAAAGTCTTGGGCTTGGCCTCAACTGCTCAGTCTGTGTTCTCTGAAAGTATTTCTCAAGGGGTTTGGAAGCTTCTTGACCCAATGAGACTGGATGATATAACAACAGTTGTTCGTAATGACTTCAGCATTTTGCAGCTGGCACAATCTCTGTACAACAAGCATGGATCTGATACTACAAAATATGAGTATATTCGTCAGAAGTTAAGGGAACTTGCACGTGTGTTGTTGGTTTTGCGTGGTGATTCGTTATACACCATTGAAGATGCTGTTAAGCCTGGAAATTTTCACAAAGTTGTCAAAGCTGTGAAAAAAGTGTCTGGTTTTGATGAAGAAAACAACTCTTACACAGCACCAAGTCTTGCTCTAAAAATAGGGCATTCTCTACAGAAAATAGCTGACATAATTCACTGTAGGGCTTTGATGACAGAAAATGAGGGCTTGATCAAATCAACTGAAGCTTTCAAGTCACTGTACTCCACAAAATGGTGTGAGCTTGTATCACACTCTGCCCTGAACACACTTAGTGAGAAGAAATTCAACAAACCATCGACCTTGCCTTTTACCCAGGATGTGCAACTTCTTCATACTCACCTCGAACAGTCTGCAAATGCTGCCTTTGACAAACTGAAGAAAGAAGCATCTCCCCAAAGTTACGCTGACCTTGCAAAAGCCACTCTTGTTCAGACTATAGTTTTTAATCGAAGGCGTGCAGGGGAGGTGTCAAAAATGCACTTGAAGAACTTCATTGCTAGAGACAAAAGCGTACTCCATGTTGATGTGTCCTTGGGATTAACTAAGTTTGAAAAGAAACTTTGTGAGCACTTCACTCGGGTAGAAATCCGGGGCAAACGTGGACGAAAGGTGGCTGTCCTCCTTACACCACAAATGGTGAAATCGCTGAATCTATTAGTCAGCAGAAGAATGGAATGTGGTGTACAGGATGCCAATATCTTTCTCTTTGCTAGACCAAAATGTTCAAGTTATTACAGAGGTCAAGACAGCTTGAGACTTCATGCAGAAAAGTGTGGAGCCAAAAAACCTGAATATCTACGCTCAACCCAGCTTAGGAAACATGTTGCAACCCTTTCGCAAATTTTAAACCTCAAAGACAACGAGTTGGATCAGGTGGCTGACTTTCTCGGGCATGATATACGTGTCCACCGTGATCACTACAGACTGCCTGAGGCAACAATTCAGCTTGCGAAAATCTCGAAGCTACTTTTAGCAATGGACAAAGGTTGTCTTGGAAACATCCAGGGAAAGTCACTCGATGAGATTCAAATTGAAGGTATTTTATATATCTATTGCATAGGTGTTATTCCAATACCAATCTCAACATTTCCATACAAGAGTATTACACTTAATTAACGTTATGATTTCAGATCAGATCCAGTTGACCGATACTGAAGATGATGCAGATGATGAACCTGATGGCACCAGTTCATTTGGCAGACAAAATGAAATGTCATCAATACAAGAAGCCTGCCAGAATGGAGGTAATTATTTTAATGGTATAAAGAAAAATGATACATTATAAGGTAGTGGTGTTTGGACTGAGAAGTACACTCACCTAAAGGATTATTAGGAACACCTGTTCAATTTCTCAATGCAATTATCTAATCAACCAATCACATGGCAGTTGCTTCAATGCATTTAGGAGTGTGGTCCTGGTCAAGACAATCTCCTGAACTCCAAACTGAATGTCAGAATGGGAAAGAAAGGTGATTTAAGCAATTTTGAGCGTGGCATGGTTGTTGGTGCCAGACGGGCCGGTCTGAGTATTTCACAATCTGCTCAGTTACTGGGATTTTCACGCACAACCATTTCTAGGGTTTACAAAGAATGGTATGAAAAGGGAAAAACATCCAGTATGCGGCAGTCCTGTGGGCGAAAATGCCTTGTTGATGCTAGAGGTCAGAGGAGAATGGGCCGACTGATTCAAGCTGATAGAAGAGCAACTTTGACTGAAATAACCACTCGTTACAACCGAGGTATGCAGCAAAGCATTTGTGAAGCCACAACACACACAACCTTGAGGTGGATGGGCTACAACAGCAGAAGACCCCACCGGGTACCACTCATCTCCACTACAAATAGGAAAAAGTGGCTACAATTAGCAAGAGCTCACCAAAGTTGGACAGTTGAAGACTGGAAAAATGTTGCCTGGTCTGATGAGTCTCGATTTCTGTAGAGACATTCAGATGGTAGTGTCAGAATTTGGCGTAAACAGAATGAGAACATGGATCCATCATGCCTTGTTACCACTGTGCAGGGTGGTGGTGGTGGTGTAATGGTGTGGGGAATGTTTTCTTGGCACACTTTAGGCCCCTTAGTGCCAATTGGGCATCGTTTAAATGCCACGGCCTACCTGAGCATTGTTTCTGACCATGTCCATCCCTTTATGGCCACCATGTACCCATCCTCTGATGGCTACTTCCAGCAGGATAATGCACCATGTCACAAAGCTCGAATCATTTCAAATTGGTTTCTTGAACATGACAATGAGTTCACTTTACTAAAATGGCCCCCACAGTCACCAGATCTCAACCCAATAGAGCATCTTTGGGATGTGGCGGAACGGGAGCTTCGTGCCCTGGATGTGCATCCCACAAATCTCCATCAACTGCAAGATGCTATCCTATCAATATGGGCCAACATTTCTAAAGAATGCTTTCAGCACCTTGTTGAATCAATGCCACGTAGAATTAAGGCGAAAGGGGGTCAAACACAGTATTAGTATGGTGTTCCTAATAATCCTTTAGGTGAGTGTATGCCAAGGTACTGTACCCAAGACTGCCTGTAGGAGCTGGCAGTATGATCACTATAGTTGTGTAGTACTATAGAATGTGAAAGCAACTTTGACTTGGGTCCGTATTCATTTAGGAAGTAAAGTAACTTGCATGTGTTGTGACTTGTTTCATTTTTTTATGATTTCTTACTGGGCTACCGTAAAATTGGGGTGTAACAGTTAAAATTACTCACGGTTTGGCTTTGTCAGTTTTAGGGGCATGGTTTCGGCATGGTTTGATATGTTCAGGGGGAAAAAGGACTACTGTCAAGTAAAAACAAAGAAAATAAGAAAAAATAATCAAACCACAAGCAACAGCATATTTCAATAAATTAAAATAAGCAAGGGATAATCCACGGCTAGCTGTGGATTTAACCATTTTAATGCACAACGTGGAGGCATTTTGGCTGTTACGCCAAACCCATGATTCGGTTCGAATCACGAAAGTTGCTGCTAGCTCATGGACACCTCCTACTAACGCTCTGCATCTCTGCAAGTTTCGGAGGGGAATGATTCAGATTTCTCTTGGCACAGCTACTAAAAGACCGAAAAGTTGCTCACGTCACATCTACATCGTCAAGCTCAGTTTGAGTCTGTGCAGTACACTCAGCGATCAGGAAAGGAGTACTTCTAATGGGCTTCACTTTTCTCTGTTGAATCCACTGTGTCCATTTCTTTTACTGTCTATGGCATCATGTCAATTAACAATCTTTAAACTTTCAGACTTGGCTCTGTTGAGGCAAAAACAATTCATGTTGATTCTAGTCTATTTTTGTTCATAAAATGTCATAGAAATGCATGTATTATCAAAATTACATGCATTTTGTAATATTTTGTGAACTAAATTGTAAATGTTTGTAGCTTGTAACTGATTTTTTAAAATTAAACATTTCACATTGCAATGTTTTCTTGTTTTTATCTTTCTTGTTTTTAGTGACTGAAAGTGTTGAACATCGGGGGAAGAAAAGAATATGGTCAAAAGCAGAAGTTGCTGCTGTGATGCGGCATTTTAAAATCCACATAGCCAAAGGTCATTTGGCGACAAAATCTGAGTGTCTTCAATGCAAATCTGCTGAAGAGCATGTGCTACAAAACCGGTCAGTACAAAACATTAGGGATTTTGTGAGAAACAGAGGTATAACAGCCAAAAGGAGAAGTCAGTATGAAAGTGCATGAGTGCTGTTCATGAAATGCAGCCATAAGCTTTTACATTTTGTAACACTGTTTTAGCTTATTTTATTATTTTTAAATGTTGTCTCCTTGCTGTCTTCTGGGTTATTTACCCTTCACTTCTTTGTTGATGTGACTGGTTTCCAATGAGATGTTCCAGTTTCTGTTATCAATGTAGCTGATTTCTCATTTGTTGTTGGTTTTACCACCAATTTGTTTTTGTTTTTTTGTCATTTTCCACCAATGCAATAACTGTGAACTGGACTTTGCATCGTTGCAGCACACACCATTACACAAATTGTTCCTGCTAACTAATGATTCTTTTCCTCTCATATACATTTTTTTTTCTTGTTTATTATTTATCGCTGTGCCGTTTACAAAATATGGTATTGTTGATCTCTTGCACTGTCGATCGATGCTGTGATGTAATCTCGTTGACAATCAATTGTTATTATTATTATTAGTTTCAAAGGGATAGTTCACCCAAAAATGAAAATTCTGTCATAATTTACTCACTCTCAAGGTGTTCCAAACCTGTATGAGTTTCTTTCTTCTGCTGAACACAAAAGAAGAGTGAAGAGTGTTGGTAGTCAAACAGCCGACGGTAGCCATTAACTTCCAGATTAATATTTGTTTTCCTACTATGGAAGTCAATGGCTATCGTCGACTGTCTAGTTTCCAACATTCTTCAATCTTCCTTTGTGTTCAGCAGAAGAAAGAAACTCATACAGGTTTGGAACAACTTGAGAGTGAGTAAATTATGACAGAATTTTCATTTTTGGGTGAACTATCCCTTTGAAACTCCTTGCTGTCTTCTGGGTTATTTACCCTTAACTTCTTTGTTGATGTGACTGGTTTCCAATGAGATGTTCCAGTTTCTGTTATCAATGTAGCTGATTTCTCATTTGTTGTTGTTGTTGTTGTTTTTACCACCAATTTGTTGTTTGTTGTCATTTTCCACCAATGCAATAACTGTGAACTGGACTTTGCATCGTTGCAGCACACACCTTTATACAAATTCTTCCTGGTAACTAATGATTCTTTTCCTCTCATATAGGTTTTTTTTTTCTTGTTTATTATTTATCGCTGTGCCCTGTTTACAAAATATGGTATTGTTGATCTCTTGCACTGTCGATTGATGCTGTGATGTAATCTCGTTGACAATCAATTGTTATTATTATTATTAGTTTCAAAGGGATAGTTCACCCAAAAATGAAAATTCTGTCATAATTTACTCACTCTCAAGGTGTTCCAAACCTGTATGAGTTTCTTTCTTCTGCTGAACACAAAAGAAGAGTGAAGAGTGTTGGTAGTCAAACAGCCGACGGTAGCCATTAACTTCCAGATTAATATTTGTTTTCCTACTATGGAAGTTAATGGCTATCGTCGACTGTCTAGTTTCCAACATTCTTCAATCTTCCTTTGTGTTCAGCAGAAGAAAGAAACTCATACAGGTTTGGAACAACTTGAGAGTGAGTAAATTATGACAGAATTTTCATTTTTGGGTGAACTATCCCTTCAATTGTAGTATCTGCATTGTTGGCAAGATAAGTGTATTGCTGTTCACATTGTTTTAATGCACTTCAGAATATTAAATACAAGATATTAACATGGTTACTTTTTTTTTTTTTTTTCTTGCTCAACTGCTTAGTTGCCACCCCTCAGAGGCCTCTTTAATGAAGGGCAGGTATTGTTTCTCTATTACCAGCGAAGATGTTTCATTGAAATCTTACGGTACTAAGTTATTGAAAACCTGCAAAGAAGATCTGAAGGCAGTCACATGCTTCTGACACCAGCCCTAATCCAATTAATACTGTAGCACTACAACAGGGATAGTTAAGGAATAGTTCAAAAATGTAAATTGTCATTTACTCTCCCTTATGTCATTCCAAACCCGTAAGACTTTCATTCATCTTCAGAACACAAATGAAGCTATTTTTATTTAAATCTGTGAGATTTCTGTCCCTCCAATGAAAGTCTGTTCAACCAAAACTCTTGATGCTTCAAAACATTTATGAAATGGTAAAACAAATCCATATGAATGGAGTACAAACATTGATCAGTGAACATAAATAAAGTTCAACTGTACCTGCTTGATGCACAGGAATGAACCTCTTTAAATTAAGGTGAAGGTCATGAGTAATGGATGTGCCGAAAGGTAAATTGCTAATACAGAAAATAAGCCTGTGATAATATTTGTGTTTGCAAAGTGTCAGAAAAAGAAGCTGTACCTGGTCATCTCCTCATTCTGACATTATATGGCTTCACTTTCAGTCAAACATGGAATGATCACTACATCAATTCCAGTGTAATCAACAAAGATTCCCACACAGCAAGTGCAGTGGCAGCTGATTAAAGGCATTCATTATGACACTACACTTGGTGATATTGATATGGGTGCATTATCTTACTTGTGTTTCTTCTGTTACTACTATCAGTGAAAGTAACCCAGCTGCTAGCTGGCAGTGCGTGACCCAAAACCTAGTCAGCATAGTGAAAACAACCCAACAAAAAGGACTGAACCCAGAATATATATATATAAACCCAAACAATTTTAACATGTATCATATAAATAACCTTAAAGCTACAAACAAACCTTTCTGGCTTTGTGTTTGTGTAGTGATTGTTAACTTTCATGTCAAAGACACGTCATAGTCCCAGTAAACCCATCTGTCTTTGCAGTGCAGTGTGTAGTCATGTTTCTTTGTGTATGTTAATGAACTGTGATGTCATTGTGACATCACATAGTCCTTGTAATCCATTTGTCCTCATAATCCTGTTTTTTGTCCTCTAGGACACATGTCCTTGTAAGTCAGCCAAAAATCAGGGTGTCATGTAACTTGTTTTATAAGGTGTAAATTAATAATAGAGTTTGAGTTTAGAAGCCATGATTTTTAAAAGCATTTCCATTTTTATTTGAAAGCTCTAGCATAAAAGGAAGTCATAGACCCCCTAAACCACCTTTTTTTCTGGTTCAAAGAAACTGTCCTTATAAGTCATGCTAACCTGTGTGTGTGTGTGTGTGTGTGTGTGTGTGTGTGTGTGTGTGTGTGTGTGTGTGTGTGTGTGTGTGTGTGTGTGTGTGTGTGTGTGTGTGTGTGTGTGTGTGTGTGTGTGTGTGTGTGTGTGTGTGTGTGTGTGTGTGTGTGTGTGTGTGTGTGTGTGTGTGTGTGTGTGTGTGTGTGTGTGTGTGTGTGTGTGTGTGTGTGTGTGTGTGTGTGTGTGTGTGTGTGTGTGTGTGTGTGTGTGTGTGTGTGTGTGTGTGTGTGTGTGTGTGTTTCAGCCGGGCCCTCCGTGTCTCCCTCCGTGTCTCTGCTGGTCTCTGGAGACTCCTCCGCTCTGCTCTGCCTGCTCAGCTCTTACTCTCCACAGGGGGCGACGGTGAGCTGGACGCTGGACGGGTCAGAGGTCACCGAGGGGGTTCAGACCAGCGCAGAGAGCGAGCGGGGCGGTCTCTACAGTCGCAGCAGCGTCCTGAGCCTCAGCAAAGCACGCTGGGAAGGCAGAGAGCACTTGGTCTGCAGAGGAACACATGCCGGAGCTGCTCACGAGGCCTCGTTCCTCAAGAGCTCCGAGTGCTGATGTTTCTCCAGTGAAGACCAGCGTATCTGAGCGGCACGTGATTTACAGCTCAATACTGAAGCAGTCTGTCAATGTGCTGCCATTGCTGTTCATTCAATAAAGCTTCATCTGAACGCAAGCTTACATGTGTGTGTGACTGCATCATTGATCAGTGTGTCGTTCCTTCAAAGTCCTGCACTAAAGTTTCAGCTGCTTTTGATTGATTGTAATAGTTGAGAACAGCTGCATTCAGCAGTAAATGTCAAATGAAGCTCTTGGGGTTTGAACATGGTCACTGGAGACGAGCTGCTCTATTCTGAGACCGTCACAATCACTAAACCTGACAATGCAAATGAGATTTTCACCTCAAACTCACAGTTTCTCTCTTTTACTGGTTTAACGCTCTGAACTGGAACAGTTTCACTTCTGCTCATGAGAAATGAGTTATGAGTAATAATAAATTCATTAGTTTGAGATGAAGAAGCTACTTGAAAAAGCCTCAAACACTTCTTTATGTTGCTGTTGATACACATTGACTTTAACGTGTAGTTTAATGTACACATATGGTGCAGTTATCGTTTGTTTGATTTAATAATAATTTACACAATCTGTTATCTCTGATTCTGAGCATTGTTGAGTCAAACCCGTCTGTCACAGGACAGATCGAGCTGATTTCAGTCATAAGTCAGTTTTGTGCACATGTGTAGTTCCTGTGTTTGTCCTCTGTGTGTCAGTAGTGTGTGTGAAAGTGTTTGAGCAGCTGCAGAAGCGACAGGTGTGCCAGTGAACGAATCTGACCAAATTGCAACAGGTTAAAAAGAGTCTCTCGAGTCACTGAGATGAATCAAACCTCCCATAATCATAAAGTTAAGTTTGTTAATATCTGTTTAGTTCCAAAAGTGGACATCACTTGGAGATTTAAGGCGACATTTCACGATTTAAATGGCTTCAGAACAGAAGACTGAATGGTAGGCCTACATTGATTCATGAGTCGTGTTGAATGTTATGATGATGATATTTTTATGATACTCTATTCAGTTTTGACAGTTTCGTCACCGATCACGTTGCGTGGAAAAGGTGCAGCTTGGCCATTCTGCTAATTAAAGAACAAATTTCGTGTTCCACAGAAGAAAGTAAATCATACTGGTTTGCAGCAACATGAGGGTGAGTAAATGCTGACAGAAACTGCTCACTCGGTTATGTTGAGATCAGTTTTAGAATTATCAACTTAGTGGCTGTCAGGTTTACTGTTGTTAAATTAAATTAAATAAAACCAAAAATGAAATAAATAAAACATGTGGTAGGAAGCAGCAACATTGTTTTGTAGGTTCAAACATGAGATGGTTTAATTCGATAACAACAAAAATAGCATCGCAAAACACTGCAATGTAAGTACAAAGTTTTTTATTAAAATCAATAAACTTCTAATATGTTCATTAGGCATGATGTCTGAGACTTTTGTCAAGCAGAACATGTTCCTGAATCTTTTATTTGCTTCTGGACCAAAAATCCTGTCAGACAAACAGTCTCAACCTTTAACTAGAAGAAACTATGGAAACCTGCCACATAAGATAAAAAAATCGAAATTATGACATAAAAAGTCGAAATTGAAGTATGACATTTAATGACATGCTTAGTCTAAATTAAAACAAAAAGTCAAAATTATGACGTCACACTTATTAAGATTTTTTTTGTGGCAAAAATGGGCTTTCAATAAGAAGCCACACATGTTTTTTTGTCATAACCCTAACCCTAAAATGTAACTGTTTATCGCAAAGATCTAATACAAACAAGGATGTTGATCCAGAAACACGTGCTACTTGGCAAAACCGCAGAAAGCTACCGAATTAATAAGCCACAGATGTGTTTACTTAATATAGTAAGACTTTAATTGGTCTCACAAATCACAAAGTTGATATCTGATTAATACTAGTAGTGTGGAAATGTAAGCAATATTTCCAGGTCAATTAAAAACCTCAAGAGTTTGTATGCATTCAGAGTTATTATAACCAGGAGATTTAATGTGCATGTACATATAAAAAGAACAAATTCATAGTTGCTAAATGACACAAATTACCACATGTTTAATCAGTTCATGGGTTGTACTTGCCATTTAGTTTTCTGCATCGCTAATCAGACAGGACGCTTTCTTAGTGCAATGGCACACACAGATCAGCATGATATGATTATATTTCAAGAAGGATTGAAGCTGTTTTTCAGCTTCCTATCCTATTTCCTATCCAATTCTTTTATCTTATCATTCCCTATCTAATCTTTCCACTTCTGACATTCCTACTCTTTTGTGTCTGACTGCCTCTTTCCTCACACTTTCTTCAGCCGCACGAAAACACTCATATCTACAGGCTGGTGCTGACCACGGTTATCCGCGGCCTGCAGTCCTGGACGAGATGATTTATTACTGAGCTCTTCATGACAGAGCTGTAGACTTTCTGCTCTTTCCCTCTCCTGCACGTGACATCACTTCCTGTTCGACTTGTTCTTGTACTGTACTCCCCATTGACCTCAGTGTGAGACGGTCCAGACTCATTTACGGTGAGGTTTGATGGTCGTGATTCATCTCCACTGGTTTGATCTCTCTGATTCTCATCAGCATCTCCTGATCTGGGCAAGCTAAACTGGATTTCCTCATAAATGCACAGCTCTGGTTTGGATTGGTCAGAGTTGGACGTCGATTGATTGTCAGATGTTGTGATTGGTTGAGCGTCTGGTGGTTGATCGGGCATTTCTTTAAGGTCAGTGCAGCTTTTTCCATTTGTTTGGCTAATATATGCCATTTCGAATGTTGTTGCGGGACTTTGGCTCCGCCCACAGTCTCCTCCCACTGGTTTATCAGGCGTTTGATTGGTTTCCTGGTTTGGTTGTTGATTTTCCACTGAAGAAAGGGATGCTTGAGGCTTTGCTTCGTGAACATAGACCGGGACTAACTCGCACCGTCGGTTATTTGACAGAAAGCACTCAGATTTCACATTAGCGGAGACGGACAACTTTTGTCTGTCAGAATTTCTGTTCTTTTTATGAGGTTTGTGTGTTTGATTGTTTCCCTGATGTCCCTTAAACACTGTAAGAGTTGAAATATGATTGATGGAGTGGCTTTCTATGACAATGATATCATTGCAAGATGATTGTTGTGCTGTTTTGTTCTTGATTTCATTGTGCACATTTGCGTCATCACATTGTGGCGTTATTGGGTTGGCCGACTCTCTGTTGTGGCTTTTAAATTTGCGTCTGTCACTGCTGTAGCCGTTACTCAAGTGTACAACGGCAGGATCTGGAAAAGAAGAGAAACATGACTAGATCATTATTTTACACATCTATATGCATTAAAATGAAATGATTTTATCATTTACACATTGTGATTGTGCTACTGCATGAGGCTAATATGCATGTGTATTAGAGTTACACTAATGTTTCTTAAATTTTATCAAAATATTTTACAGTATGAGCATGCATGTGCATGGCTGTATGTAGAGTGAATGCAAAACAAATGCTTCACGTAACCTGGTGTGTGTTTCTGGACATCTGTCTCCTTTTCACTGGCTGTAATAAGTTTCAAGGGATGAATGTCGTCTATGAAGTGCTCTCTGGCTGCACTGAAAGTAAAAGAAAAAGAGACAGAGCGATGGAGAAGAATATTTTTCAGAAGAATATAGTGTCAAAAAGGATGAGACTTAATATTTAAGAGTAGAAAGAAAAGCTGTTCGGCTAATTTAAAACAAAACTGAGACTGAATTAAACATGGTGTAAAGCTAGAGATGTAAAGACATGTGCAACCTAATACATGCACAATATACAGTGCTCGGAGAAATTAAGAGATTAAGTGCAATTTCGAAACCATGCATAGTGGAAGCAGAGCATGTATTCGTATCCATGCAAATATATCTTTAAATACTGTCAATATTCTTCTTTTTTTTCATACTGTAACTGACAGAATTGTTCATGGGTGTAGATTGTGTAAATATCCATACCTCATACTTCTGTCTCTTTTATCCGTTCGTCTGAGTTTAGTGTGGTGTTTCTGAGAGCTCATGGCAGCGTCGCAGTCAGACTCAGAGTTTGTAAGGCACAAGGCTTCAGGCTCGAGCTGTAACATGCATTCATGCACACATGCATATAATCATCCGTATGATTGCACTCAGTTATTAGTTTCCCAGCAGGCTGTGGGTTATTTCTACCACCTGACCCTAACAATGTCAATGGCTCTTTCAACATGGCGATCAATCCGACTACAGTTTAATGACTTTTGGATGTATGGTGCAGAATTACAATGTAAAATAACAGTTTTCTATTGTAACATATTTTAAAATGTAATTTATTCCTGTGATCAAAGCTGAATTTTCAGCATCATTACTCCAGTCTTCAGTGTCACATGATCCTTCAGAAATCACTCTAATGCCGAGTTCAGACTGCACGATTTTAGCCCCGATTTTGGCTCGCCGACAGGTTTTGAGAAATCGCCGACAAATGCCCGAAATCACAGGCAAATCGGTGCTCGTTCACGCGAGTGACAATCACGCAGTGTGAATGAGCAAAGACGTGATCTGAGAGAATCACAGACGAGTCGCCGACGCCCGTGAGATATTTGGCATGCTAAATATCTGGACCTGTCGGCGATTCAAAATCCTGCTGTGTGAAAAGTGTTATGACTGAAAACTACATCGGCGATGACCGACAGCCAATGAGAGAGCAAGATACAGGACAGCAGGATGTTCGGGGAGGAGTTATAGACCAGAATATCAGTATTTTAATAGATAGCCCTTTACAATTATATCAAACAGAAACAAAGCACAAACATTTGCATGACCAGCAGCAACAGCAGGACATTTGCTAAATTATTTATTTACCCCCAACTCTCTTTGCACAGTCCTTGCTCCCCTCGTCTTCCCAACCATTTCCTCCTGCATAAACTGTTTATTTTTCTCATTTTCGCTACAAATCAGCGCACATACAATTTGGATCGCAATCTTCTTGTAGGCTATCATTTTTAATAACAAATTAAGTGTCGCGCGAGAACTCCGGTCTCACGCACGCGTGATCTTCCATTATTTCCCTATCACTTCTCGTGTTTGTTTGGTTGTGAAACGTAGTTTGCGGACCAGGCAGAAGTTGTCGGCGATTCTTTCTTTTGTAAAGTCATGCAGTGTGAAACTTCCCGTCGCCGATCCATCGTGCAGTGTGAACACAGCAGCAACTGAATGTTACCCCAGATAGTCATGCAGTGTGAAAACAACAGTGGCCCGATTATTTTGAAAATCGTGCAGTCTGAACTCGGCATAATGTGATGATTTGCTGCTCAAGAAACATTTATGATCATTATTATTATCAGTGGTGAAAACAGTTGCTTCATATTTTTGTGGAAACATTTTTTTTTCAGGATTATTTGATGAATATAAAGTTCAAAAGAACAGCATTTATTTGAAATGGAAACATTTTGTAACATTATAAAAGTCTTTATACTGTGACTTTTGATCAGTTTAATGTGTCTATGCTAAATAAAAGTATTAAATTCTAAACTTTTGAACAGTAGTGTATAATATTACTTACGAAGAAAAACATTATCATGATTAAAAATTACTTTCATAAATACCTTGAAAATAAGATTATGAATGTCTGAACCATTAATTAGATATTTTTCCTTAAATCATAAGGGAGGTATCTCTACGCAACAGGAAAATTTGTTGGAAAAGTGAACGGTAATTAAACATGAAATGAAATAGAAAAGTTCACCTCCTGCTGATGGTGTGTCCAGACCTTTCTATCAGCCAGTGCCTTCTCTCTGGGGTTTTGAGGCGGTTTCTTCTGCAACATCTCTTGCGGTCCGTCGGCCCAGTGTAAGTGTCTGTTCCTGTCGGCCGTCTCATGCGTCGTTCTGCTGGGTTTCCTCTGGCTGTTCCTCAGTCCTGACTGCAGGGGGATCTGCTCAGGATAGGGGTCGTCCACATAAATGCGCTCTGCGATGAGCGACGTCGGAAGGCTAGACGTCACGACGCGGGTCAGACGCAGCGGCTCGTGTGGGACGTCCTGTTCAACACTCGGCCTGCTGTCATTGGCAGGGCTCTCTTGGGTCCATCTCTTAAAACTCTGGTGAATCTTCATGTAGTCCTGCTGCTCTGCTTCAGTCACACACTCCTTTTACATCAGAGAAAGAGAAAAATATCATGTTTAAACTGACACAGCAGAATGACTAGCCAACTCTTAAATCAAACTTTTTAATGCCAAGGACCCCTAAATATGATGATCCCAATGTGAGAGACCCTTTCTTTATAAATATATAATGGTTTCAAAGTTTATAATGTGTGAAAAAAGTTTTTTTCAAAATTAGATATTTTTATGTCATCATTGTATGAAATCAAATGTACGGAAGCGTATTCGTATACATTCACTTGAGGAAAAAAAATGTACTCTGTTTTTCTGAATTAACGAGTTAATTATCTCAGAATTACGAGAATTTTTCATGGGAAAAAGTTTTTGCTCTGTTTTTCTGAATTAATGACTTATCTCATAATTATGAGTAACTCATTAATTCATAAAAACAGAGTGAAAAAAATGTTTTCCATGAAAAATGATCTCGTAATTCTGAGATAATTAACTCGTTAATTCAGAAAAACAGAGTCGATTTTTTTTCTTCAAGTGAATGTAATACGCTTCCGTACAAATGAGTAAAATATTATTTAGAAACTATTTGCGATGAAGTTGACAGTTGTTTTTTCTATCCACTATTAGAATAATTTGGATGTAAAAACATATACAGAAACATTTTCAATGCAGTACAGTGCAAATGTATTTGTATAGCACTTTAGCACATTACTTCTCAATCGCTTCTCACACACATGATTTGGCACAGGTTTTACGTCGGATGCCCTTCCTGACACAACCCAGCACTGAGAGTGTTATACAACCCCTTTATTTTCAAAAGTTGATATTAATTTTAAAACCCATAAAACATTTTATTTAAGTATTTTGCTCTGATTTTTCATGGAGCCTAAGCTCCCCCTTGTGGCCATATAGGGGTTATTTGATGCCAGTTTTAAAACTTCTGACTTAAATGTTCTTCTGCTGTTAAAATGTTCTTAGTTTTCTGCTGTATTTTTCAAAATATGAGCTTATGTACATTTATGCTCAGAGCATTCATGTAAAATGGTTAAAAGTCTCATTACCATGTTGGGGCCTCCTAACTCGCCCTCAAAATAGGGAACAGGTTTTGGTGGAGGAACTGAAGGATAGAAAGAGAAAACGATTTACATATACGTGCTTAAATGAATGAACATTGACACAGACCGACACATTTACTCACCCCCCTGCGTCTGGAGACCCAGTAAGGCCATAAAGCGGTTCTTGTTCACCCTCAAACCACACAAGATATCCTCCATCATCCAGAGCTGCCTCTGCGCCTGAATCTGCTCCTGGGGTTATTTGGATTTAAACTTTTTTTTTAACCATTCAGAAATCTGTAATTTAACAGTCTAAAGTCGCTTACAAGATCTTTAAACATTATGCTAAACTGTTACAGTATAGGTGTTTCTGTATGCTGATGGTGACACCCAACAAAAGGTTAATAAACGTGGCATTACCTGCGTTGTCCCGAAGTGGAGGATGTGTTGGAGATGAGAATGGAAAACCGACAGCTCGCTCTCCATCCGTTCATAATCACTCCACAAACTGTCCAGCTCCTGATGAAGAGAGGTGTCGCTCGATTATTAATGCATTAATCGGATCTACTAATGTCACAAACACAGCATGAAAACAGATTAATTAGTTGATCTTTTTTTATACTGGTATTTCATTTACACACAAAGGCTGCACAATTTGCGGAAAAATCTAATTGTGATTTTAAAAAGTGATTTAAAAAATGTTTGTTTGCTTTTTTTAAGGGATGCATAATTATTATATATCAATATGGCTATAAAATAATAATTATCATGATTACTAAATAAAAACTTTACATTTGTAACATTTCCCCGTAAAATATATAAATATAATGTTATATATTATTATATTATATAATACATTACAATTGTAAACTTACAATACTAATATTTAATGGCTGTCTTAATTTCTTGATTTTAAAACGTTAAACCATTGACCTATTTTGACTGAAACCCCCAGAGAGCCCTTAAAGCTACTCTTTTGTTGATAAGTGCTTCTCATTACAAGTATATGAAGATGGCTGGTACATTTTGCATTCACAAATGCACATTAAATCTATCTAAATGTATCTACTGAAACTCAGAGCAGATGCAGATGGAGTTCGTTTACTGTGAACCGAGACGCTGTAAGATCACAGTGCCGCCCTTCACTCTGAAACATGCAGCGCATACATATATTGAATTAAATCACAGGCGAGTAATTGTGCAAGCATAGCACACACACACAATCAATACTGTACCAATGACAAATCACATATTCTGGCTCTGAGTGTAACCAGCTCCTCCTGAAGCAAAGCCTTCTGGGATACCTCCTGCTCTCCAGGTAGTCCATCTTCCCTCACCAACCATTTGATTTCTAGAGCATACTCAATGCTTTTCTAAAGAAAGGGACAGAGCAGGCAGGAATATTTGTGTCGTGTTTTTTTGCATGCATTATTTGAGTGTGTGTGATCTGTTTGTGTGACAGACCTTATCTGCCTGTAACTGAGCCAGCTGCATAGAGACGGACTGCAGCAGTTTATCACATCCACACAGACGAGTGAGAACCACCTGAGGGACAGAAGCTCAACGGGTCAGATCCACAGTTAAGAGGTTTGTAAGAATGTTCCTGAGTGCATTTCTTAAGATCTCGAATATTTTCTTAAAGCAACTCCTAGTAACTTTTCCTCTGCGGTCGCCCTACAGGTTGGAAGCGGAATTGTCCATTACCGCTGTCGTAAATAATTTAGCCCACCGCAGTCTACTGTCGCACGCACGCTCGCTGTTTATCCAGCACCGGCTTTGGAATGAACGATGTCCACAGACAAGGGAGAGTATGTTGCATGATTTCATGAAAGCATGATGTATTGCGACATCAGAAACGAAGAAAAACTAAATAATGACTATTGTAACGCTTGACGTAAAGCAAGTCAAATTTGTAGTTTTCTTATGTCTCATTAGAACTACAGAAACGCAACCCGATCTGGCAATCTTACATAGCGTGGTTATAGCAGATATAGGACCGCAAAGCGAATCCAGAAGTGCCTTTCACCCTGTTACGACTTAATGAACCACTGAAACGATTTTGGAAACATTATTTTAAGGTAAAAAATCTTACTTAGTGTTGCTTTAATATGTGCAACTCTTAGGAATGTTTGATGTTGCAAACATAACAGTGATCCGATTGCAGTAGTATTCGAGTCAACTGTATACTGATACAACAATAGCAGTTTTCAAGTCAATAATTAAAAAATAAATTGTCACCAAGGGTGCATTTCAGAACACTAGCTACCAAAAACAAACAAATGTAATACAATGTATAATGTAAACAATGATCTGTCATGATTATGCTTGCTGTAACATTTTGTTTTAATTCGAATTCAGTAACAACTCAACAAAAACTACTTAGATTTTCGATTTTTTCAATTACATTTTTACGTCATTTTATAATTATGCCTAGTTTTCTTCCTAAGAAAATATCAAAATCTCTCTCACACGTACACACACACACACACACACGCGCGCGCTACAGTGCACTCACATCTGTATCGTTTTCCAGATCTATGATTGGCTGAATTTCTCTCTCCGTTAGGATGTCTGGTTTACCTGCCTGGATCAAAATAAAATTAAATCTGATTAGTCATAATTACATCAATATGCAATAATGTGTTTTCTCTCCAGTGACAGCCATTCAAAAGTAGATGACCATTATTTTTTTTGCAAGCTACATACATTTTTATATTGAAGTAAAAAATTTTTACTTTATTTATTTATCAGGGGCAACGTACAAAATACATTAATCTTACGAAAAGATGTTTTGTACCAGAGTTAGCCGAAGCTAATTTTCATCTGCAGTCCCCGGGCAGGTACACACAATATTTACAACATTACATTACAAAATAACTATCAATAGTACTAACAAGTACATATAATATTAGTCCAAGAATGGTCATTTAAAAACAATCAGATGTTCAAGATGAATGAACTAATCAAAAGACCATCACAGCCTATAATATATATACAACAAAGTCAAAAACATTTACTTTAAAATTACATTTGTAAATTTTAAATATGCTGATGCTGACACAGCTGGTTATCAAGAATGTGTTTCTTTAAGTTTTGAGAAAAATTATTCAAATCTTCTGACAACTTTAGATTATTAGGAAGTAGATTATTAGGAAGTTATTAAGAAATCTGAAAAGTAATTGACTAGTCAAACAGCATAAATCAACATACTGGAGAAAAAGTTTATTACAAAAAAGTTTTTATTTTATTTTTAAATAGCTCAATTTCATTATTACATTAATATAATATTTTAGAGCATGTAATATGCCACACAGGGATGTCAGAGACCATGTGATAATGTTAAAGAATTATTCTTTTGAACTGGTACATTGAAATTTAATGTATTAATTGAATTGTTTAAAAGAACCGATCTGTATGTATGTGCTGTGTTGCATGGAAACTTCCCTTTGAAAGGTTCATAACATCACAGATCACGGATTTGTCTCACCTTGCACATGTCCATGTGTTCAGCCGTGTGGTAGTTGGAAGAGTAGCACACAGAACATGGAAACTCAGGCTGAAAAGGCTGAAACCCAGATAGACAGTTAAAGAAAGTGTGGATTTTGAATATGACCGTATTGGCACATTAGTGTATATTCTTTATTTTCACCTGATCGGGCACATGTGCTCTCTCTGTGTAGATGTATGGTGACAGGGGGGCGCTTGAGCAGTTTCCAAAGGGCCAAACGTCCGCTCTGCCCATGGTACCGTGACACGGCGACCCATACTGATCTCTGGGAAATGGAGGATGCTTGAAGGCTGCTTTCGGATGGTGGAAGGAAAGATGTTCCTCATCTGCATTTACCAAGCTTGGAGATTGATCAGTCGCTTCAGCCGTGCTGATAGAGAGAAAAAGAGAGCTGATCTTAACAATTTAAGTGGCATTTCTGCATGGATTGTCCTGAAAATCTGTCTCAATGTATTGCTGGGATTGCAAAGAGGCTTTTATTGAAGGATGGGACGGACCAAATGGAAGACATGCATGTTTTCTCATCCCACATATTACCAAACTTAGATTACTGGTTCTCAACTGGTTTTGCTTAATGGCCTAGATTTTACATTGGATATCAAGTGGTGTCCACACACAATACCTACCAAACCAACAAAAAAAAAAAGTCATTAAATTGAATTGCCATGAAGTGCATAGACCCAATAAAATGCAATAAGCCTGGTTGCTTTTTATGATTTGTATTTTGCATTGTTTTCCCCTGCTCTCCACGGCCCATCAGACCAGACTCATATTTTAGGTTGCAACCCACCAGTTGAGAAACACTGATCTATGTACATGATTTATTATGAGTACATTAGCAAAAACAGCCTGTTTAATTCAGAAAGGGGTATGACAAGTCATTTAAAACCAAATTACGACTGTTATGTCACAAGAAACCTTGATGGACCTTAACTAACTTTAAAAATGCTAGAAAAGTGTAAGTTATGGTCCCTTTATAGCAAGTTAAAGACAATTTACTGAAGGAGAAAAAGTCCTCAAGACCCTTTAAAGGTCATTCATACGGTTTAATTGTGAAGCGTCTCAGATCATTTACCTTGGTCTGCTCCCATGTCTTCCTCTCAGTTCTGGCGTCTTCATTTTAATTCCCGTCGTCTCGTGATCCAGGAGAGTCGGCTCTGTCTGCACCCTGGTCAGTTTTGTTGCGGTCTGGTTTCTTTCTGGAAACGGGGTCATGTGTTGGAGCTCCATTGTTTCCGCATTATCTCCCATCTGAGTGAAGTCCTGAAAACTGGCACAGCGTCTAAAGAACAAGAAAAACAGTAGGGTGAATTATAGAATCCATAAAAATGGACCGAAATGAAGTTTGAGGTTCACCTGTTGATCATGTCATCAGCCTCCATGCTTGCTGATTGGCTGAGAGCCCTGACCCAGCCCAACATGTCCTCTTGGGTCTCAGCGCTCATGATGTACGGCCGCATCCCCTGATGAACCACCTAAAAGCACATGTTTACAGTGAGAATATAAGGTATGAAACTGTACTGTTAGGTTTAAGGGGACGTTCACTCTCACCTTGAATGCATATTTGCGGTTCCTACACTCTCTGGGTGAGCAGTACAGGATCCTGTAGCTGGGAAGAGGAATACTGCCCAGAACAGACTCCTCACGGCTGTCTGGAGGAAGTCGTTTCAGGGAATAAGTCTTTTTGAAATGGAAAATTAATGCACTTACTTATCGTTAATATATATAAAACAATAACATGGTTTTACCTTTATAATAATACAGGCAGAAATTAGAGAGGACAAACCATCTTCTTTTCCATAATTTCAGTCCACTGCTATCCTATAGAAAGAGATATTTATGATCACACGCACATCTCTGATAAATATAACCTTGATTATAAGATGACCTTGTTTTTAATTTATGAATCTGTGTTTTATATACTTTTGTGGACCTTAAAGTAAAAAATGTGTTGGTGGTATAACATAAAAAAGGGAAACGACGTCACAAAGACCCCTGCAGACTGTCAAGGTCAGAAAATCTCTAAAAAATATGAGATAATTTGATATTTTAATGTTTTAAAAATAAATTGTTTGTTATTTTAGGTTTTTTTTTTTTCTATATAGATTTCATTTTTTTCAGTCTTAGTTTTAGTCATTTTAATACTTCAACTTATTTCTTATTTATTTTGAGTTTCAAGTTTTCAATCTGATATTTATTTTTATTTTTATTTCAGCTTTATTTCAATTCCCAAATATATCACCAAACTTTTTAGTTTACAATAACACCACTGGCTACAATATTTTTAAACTTTGAAAAATGTTAATGAAAACAATGTTACATTTACAGTCAAATGTATTCAAGGTGCAAGAAAGATATATTAGGGTGATTATATCAAAGATTTTGTTGAAAAATGTACTTTTATTTTCATACTGCATGTACGAAATCAATGTGAATACAAATATTAGCCTACATGTATGTAATAAGAACTTAGTATTTAAAGCTAACATTTTTGTGTTCAAAATGTAGAATATTTATATAAAGAACAAGTGCATCATGAATCCATTTTCCAAACCGGGTTTTTGTCTTAACCCTCAACACTACGGTACATCGATAATAAGTGTTTATATTCGGACTACTTTATAGAGCCCAGTACCTGCGTGACTCGTCATAGACATAAACAGAGAGAAGTAGGTCCGGCTACAATGATCTTCCGCAAGAAGCATGCATTGCATTGCAGTTATGTTTATTAACAGGCTAGAGAAGTTACGGACTGCAGCTTTAAAGTAAAACATATTTGTAAAGTATTTCTCCGAGATCTTACACTAATGGTCAGTATTGTGCACTAAATGTTACCCTCTTGTACAGCCATCCTCTGATCACCACAGGGCAGTTGGCGTCTCTTTTTGCCGCTTGACATCTCTTTCCAAACGTCTGCACTTTGTCGTGACACTGCACATATATAATCACACAAACTGTGTCATTGGGGTTGAAACATTCTACCTGTGTTTGTGTAAAAATATGTGATTCACCTTGTCTCTGATTGGCAGAAAGGACACGGTGGCGCTGCTGGAGGCCTGACTGACTCTGTCCTGATCCTCCATCCTAGAGAGAGAATAGAGATTGACATCGAATGAATCATCAATAAACGTCAACCTGTTCAGGTTAGCCGACTTTGCTGTTAAACCACAGTTTTGGTTTCAAATGGCCTAGTTTCACAGACAGGGCTTAGATTAAGTCAGTTCAACTACATTACAATGCCCCTATTATGGTTTTTCGAATATTACCTCTCATGCAGTGTGTAATATAGCTGTTTGTGAATGCAAAGTTGTAAAGTCGAAAGTGCAGATGAAAAAGTTATTGTCTCCTAAATGAGAGAATCGACTCTGAACTGCTTAAACGAGTCGTCTGTAGACCTGCACTACGGTTCTACGTCACTAGATAAGACATTTGCATAATGCCCGTCTAGTAGGCGCTGTATGTTGTCCGCCCACAAACAACTTGACCCATCCTTCATTATATTTTAAAACACAGTGATGCATGCTTTATTTTTAAGGTAATTAATGGGAAGGCTCCCCCACCTCTGTGCACTTTTATACTTTTATACAGCATAAGTCATCTAGCAGCAGAACCACAAGGTCTGCCTTAAGAGGGGACTGTGTAGTCCCTCTTAGGTCCAGTTCCTTTGGCCAATTATGCTTTTCTGTGAGAGCCTCTAAACTATGGAACCAATTGCCAGTGGACATAAGAAATTCCACTTCATACCATATATTTTCGCGCCATCTTAAGGACTTGCTTTTGAGCACACAAAAATGTGAACACCTTTCATAATAATTAATGTATATGTCTGCCTCTATACTTAAGCTGTCCTGTAACCTATGGTATATGTATGACAGATAGATGGTTACTTTTTTTAATTCCCTAATAGTTGTATGGCTGTATGGTTATATGTTATATGTGTTATGATGTTATGTTTTAATAACCAGTGCTATGGCTTTATGTTTTATTGTTGTATACCAATTGCTGTGTGATAATGTTTGTTTTTTTCTAGCCATCATGTGCCTAGTATAACATCTTGCCAATGGACTACAGTTGAAAATTAGCCTGCTAGCTTACACTGGCACATTTACAGAAATGTTAATCAATGTGCACTGTCCTTAAATAAATAAATGAAATGAAATGAAATTGCGGGATTTGACTGTCGACTGCATCTCAGATCTCGCGGGAGTGCAACCTGGGATTCGCAAAACGCTGCTCTTGAAAGATGGGTTAGTACTCAGTTTATTTGGATCAACTTATTCCTCAGAATCACAACCTGTAAGTTTGAATAATTATTGATGTATAAATTTCAAAATACGTAGTTATGTGTTTTATATTGTGTAAGTTTTTGTTAGTGTGTTGCTATGCAGTTGCTGGGGTGTTGTGAGTGGTTGTTAGTGTGTTGCTAGGGGTGTTCTGAGTTGTTGTTAGTGTGTTGCTAAGCAGTTGCTAGGGGTGTTTTGAGTGGTTGTTAGTGTGTTGCTATCCAGTTGCTGGGGTGTTTTTTTGAGAGGTAGTGACTGTGAGTGTGTTGCTATGGTAATTCAAAAGACTCTTCCCCTAAGTCTCTGATTAATCTTGCTTGCAAGTGAAAATCGTTAGCCACACACACAGCTTTCCTCAACAAGACACCCGATTTGAGGAATTATTCATGTATGAAGCACAAACGCTGCAGGACAACGCACACACTGTTCATTGCTTAGAGTTAGTGACTTCAACAAGCCCCTAACCATAAGTATAAGAAATAGTAATAGTGTTGTTCGACTTGGCAAACACCACTAAAAGAAAAGTACATTCTCATTCAAAAAACAAAGTAATCACAAGTAAGTCACAACATGTGGTGTTAGTTCAGAAGCTCACTACATGCACAAGTTTCAACTGCCAGATGAAGTACTAACCCAGCTCAAGGATTTCAGATAGTAAAGCGCCGATATCCTTAAAAACCTTATAGAACAGCTCAAGAAGTCTTGCAGGAGTCTGTCTTCATGCTATTCTGGGTGCTGACGACCCTTAACTTAGAGTGACACATAACAGCTGTTTTGCCCTGACTGACCACTGGACGGGTTCACAGAGTACATGAAAGAGAGAGAGTAGAATTAGAAGAATGAATGATCACAGTTGTTGCTGCTCAGTGCAGCTGATCTGCAACTCTGGCAGCAACAGTCAATATAGCTGTTGCTGGGGTGTTCTGAGTGTGTGTGTTGCTAGAAGTGGTTGCTGGGGTGTTCTGAGTGGTTGTGAGTGTGTTGCTGTAAGCGGTTGCTGGGGTGTTCTGAGTGGTTGTGAGTGTGTTGCTGTAAGCGGTTGCTGGGGTGTTCTGAGTGGTTGTGAGTGTGTTGCTAGAAGCGCTTGCTGGGGTGTTCTGAGTGGTTGTGAGTGTGTTGCTAGAAGCGGTTGCTGGGGTGTTCTGGGTGGCTGTAAGTGTGTTGCTAGAAGCGGTTGCTGGGGTGTTCTGAGTGGCTGTGAGTGTGTTGCTAGAAGCGGTTGCTGGGGTGTTCTGGGTGGCTGTAAGTGTGTTGCTAGAAGCGGTTGCTGGGGTGTTCTGAGTGGTTGTGAGTGTGTTGCTAGAAGCGGTTGGTGGGGTGTTCTGAGTGGCTGTGAGTGTGTTGCTAGAAGCGGTTGGTGGGGTGTTCTGGGTGGCTGTGAGTGTGTTGCTGTAAGCGGTTGCTGGGGTGTTCTGAGTGGTTGTGAGGGTGTTGCTATAACCAGTTACTGGGGTGTTCTGAGTGGCTGTGAGTGTGTTGCTAGAAGCGGTTGCTGGGGTGTTCTGAGTGGTTGTGAGTGTGTTGCTATAAGCAGTTGCTGGGGTGTTCTGAGTGTTGCTATATACGGTTGCTGGGGTGTCTGAGTGGCTGTGAGTGTGTTGCTGTAAGCGGTTGCTGGGGTGTTCTGAGTGGTTGTGAGTGTGTTGCTAGAAGCGCTTGCTGGGGTGTTCTGAGTGGTTGTGAGTGTGTTGCTAGAAGCGGTTGCTGGGGTGTTCTGGGTGGCTGTAAGTGTGTTGCTAGAAGCGGTTGCTGGGGTGTTCTGAGTGGCTGTGAGTGTGTTGCTAGAAGCGGTTGCTGGGGTGTTCTGGGTGGCTGTAAGTGTGTTGCTAGAAGCGGTTGCTGGGGTGTTCTGAGTGGTTGTGAGTGTGTTGCTAGAAGCGGTTGCTGGGGTGTTCTGAGTGGTTGTGAGTGTGTTGCTATGAGCGGTTGCTGGGGTGTTCTGAGTGGTTGTGAGTGTGTTGCTAGAAGCGGTTGCTGGGGTGTTCTGAGTGGCTGTGAGCATGTTGCTGTAAGCGGTTGCTGGGGTGTTTTGAGTGGCTGTGAGTGTGTTGCTAGAACCGGTTGCTGGGGTGTTCTGGGTGGCTGTGAGTGTGTTGCTGTAAGCGGTTGCTGGGGTGTTCTGAGTGGTTGTGTGTTGCTAGAAGCGCTTGCTGGGGTGTTCTGGGTGGCTGTGAGGGTGTTGCTAGAAGCGCTTGCTGGGGTGTTCTGGGTGGCTGTGAGTGTGTTGCTAGAAGCGGTTGCTGGGGTGTTCTGAGTGGTTGTGAGTGTGTTGCTAGAAGCGGTTGCTGGGGTGTTCTGAGTGGTTGTGAGTGTGTTGCTATAAGCGGTTGCTGGGGTGTTCTGAGTGGCTGTGAGTGTTGCTGTAAGCGGTTGCTGGGGTGTTCTAAGTGGTTGTGAGTGTGTTGCTAGAAGCGCTTGCTGGGGTGTTCTGGGTGGCTGTGAGTGTTGCTAGAAGCGGTTGCTGGGGTGTTGTGGGTGGCTGTGAGTGTGTTGCTAGAAGCGGTTGCTGGGGTGTTCTGAGTGGCTGTGAGTGTGTTGCTAGAAGCGGTTCTTGGGGTGTACTGAGTGGCTGTGAGTGTGTTGCTAGAAGCGGTTGCTGGGGTGTTCTGAGTGGTCGTGAGTGTGTTGCTAGAAGCGGTTGCTGGGGTGTTCTGAGTGGTTGTGAGTGTGTTGCTGTAAGCGGTTGCTGGGGTGTTCTGAGTGGCTGTGAGCGTGTTGCTGTAAGCGGTTGCTGGGGTGTTCTGAGTGGCTGTGAGCGTGTTGCTAGAAGCGGTTGCTGGGGTGTACTGAGTGGCTGTGAGTGTGTTGCTAGAAGCGGTTGCTGGGGTGTTCTGAGTGGTCGTGAGTGTGTTGCTAGAAGCGGTTGCTGGGGTGTTCTAGGTGGCTGTAAGTGTGTTGCTGTAAGCGGTTGCTGGGGTGTTCTGAGTGGCTGTGAGCGTGTTGCTAGAAGCGGTTGCTGGGGTGTACTGAGTGGCTGTGAGTGTGTTGCTAGAAGCGGTTGCTGGGGTGTTCTGAGTGGTCGTGAGTGTGTTGCTAGAAGCGGTTGCTGGGGTGTTCTAGGTGGCTGTAAGTGTGTTGCTGTAAGCGGTTGCTGGGGTGTTCTGAGTGGCTGTGAGCGTGTTGCTAGAAGCGGTTGCTGGGGTGTTTTGAGTGGCTGTGAGTGTGTTGCTAGAAGCGGTTGCTGGGGTGTTTTGAGTGGCTGTGAGTGTGTTGCTAGAAGCGGTTGCTGGGGTGTTTTGAGTGGCTGTGAGTGTGTTGCTAGAAGCGGTTGCTGGGGTGTTCTGAGTGGCTGTGAGTGTGTTGCTAGAAGCGGTTGCTGGGGTGTTTTGAGTGGCTGTGAGTGTGTTGCTAGAAGCGGTTGCTGGGGTGTTTTGAGTGGCTGTGAGTGTGTTGCTAGAAGCGGTTGCTGGGGTGTTCTGAGTGGCTGTGAGTGTGTTGCTAGAAGCGGTTGCTGGGTGTTTTGAGTGGCTGTGAGTGTGTTGCTAGAAGCGGTTGCTGCGGTGTTCTGAGCGGTTATTGGTGTGTTGCAATGTTTTTTGCTATGCAGTTTCTGTGGTTGTGAGTAGAGCCGCAAGATAAGCCTAACTGTTAAAAAATCGTGATCTTGATTTAAACAACCACACAATCTCATTCCTAAATGACGTTTCACCTGTGTCTATTAAACATTTCGATTTGCGTTTGTGCTGCCGCTGATCCAGAGAAAGCAGTTATCATGTTAGGCCTTTAGGCATGAAATGAAACCGCTTCAACGTCACAGTATTGTTAATTCTGTGTTCCAAATATTCATATTATCACAGAAGTACTGGGATAAAAGTTTATAGCTTGGATAAGAACCCTGATGTCTGTGGTAGCGATCAAAATAAAGCAAATCACCTTTTGAAAGTAAATTGGTGCTTCAAATAACAATTATTTCTATTACATATTTACAGCACAGAGGGTAACAAGTGTCTTTTAAAAAATATATTTTTGTCTTTGAATCATTCATTTTTAAAGATTCGTTCAAAAACCCTGATTCATCCAGTAATGAAACAAGTGAGGTATTTATGAGTCATTGAATCATTCATTCAAACGAAGTTTTTTTTTTAAATAATTCAGATTAATTCAACATTTCAAATAGACTGCAGCAATTAATGTTTTGTCAGAACCTCTAGTAAATTGTTATTTTGTTTGGTAGTTTGTTCAGAGTCGTGATCTCTGTTTTAAACGCACACAAAAAATTGTGATTCTCAATTTATCCAGATTAATGCAGCTCTAGTTGTCAGTGTTGCTATGCAGTTTCTGTGGTGTTTTAAGTGGTTGTGAGTGTGTTGCTTTGTTGTTGCTGGAAACATATACTTCAACAGTAAACAAGTTTTTACTGTAGCATTTTTGTGTCAAGTAATAATGCAAGAATGTGGACGTGGACACGGAGTATTCGAGGTGTAGGAGTGTGTGTGAGTGTCTGAATGTTTGCATAATGTCTGTTGTGCAGCACACATACAAATAGAGTCTGTGCAAAACAAAGCCTGAACTGTTAGAGGCCTCATGAACGAAACAACAGTCGATTATTAAGCAATGCTCACTGCTGGTCTAGACAGGATGATCACAACATTGTAGCTTGTGTGTGAAGATAAAAGTTCTTTAGAAAGCATTATGTATTTATTTTCAGGATTCTTTATGAATAAAAAGTTCAAAATAACAGCTATATATTCCGAATTTTTTTTTTTAAATCACATACGCAAAAAATATCTGATTTCTGTTGCCTGTCAGAATAAAGCCATAAAGACTGCTGAATTATGATAAATAAGACTGTATTTTCATTAACAGCGTTTATTACAATGGTTAAATAAGAAGAACATAAGCACAACAAAACTACAAACTAAACAAAGAAACCCAATATCAAGTGTAGTAGATGAAAGAAAAGAATAAAGTGATTTCTCGTACCTGGTCTGTTTTCGGTACCCGACAGCAACTTCCAGCGTCATGGTGTTTCCAGCATCTCTCCCTCTGAGAGACAAACGCTCAACACACACACTGCGGAGACTCAATCCCTCTTTCATCCCTTTAACACTGAATCCTCTGTTTCCTTTCCCCGCTTCACTCTCAGCTCACACACTCTCTTTCTCTTCTGATGTCTGTAAAGTGACATTTAGCTTCACCTCTGCTGGTATAGGACAGAAAAATCACAAATCAAATCTATCTAATATCTCAGGTTGTTCTCCTGGACAGCAATGAGATTTACATGGATACAGAGCAAATGGAGACTTTTTCCTAAAGTCTGCTTCTTCTTCTTTTTTTTTAAAGAATCTTTGTTTGTTTGCTGGGAGACATTTGACATCTCTAGTTTCAGAAGAGATCTCAAATCTCTCAGACTAAGTGAATATGATATCTCTATATGCTATGAAATGTATTTGTCATAAAACATGATTTTATTGATCTGGTATGTCATTATAGGGAAATGCTAGCATTACATTGAGCAAAAAAAAATACAAGGCTAAGATTTTAGGTAAACAAATATGTGAATGTGCTATGGAAGTGTGTATTTCTGAAATGCTATCTATCTGTTTTTCATCATTTAAATAAACTTCTAGCTTTTCTGCAGTCCTGTGGTGTTATTCTATAGTGTAAATTCAAGTGTACATGCTTCATGTAGTCTCTCATTAAATTAATCCATAACAGTATTCTGCAAATGGAAAACTACATTCAGTAACTGCAAAACTGCATGCATTATATTAAAAAAAGATTACTGGGAGGCTCGTACGTGAATCTGGGCTGAACCCAATCTGCAAATAAATACTCGAGACACTTGTAGTCACGAGACAAACATCTGACCTGACCTGATCTACTCTCTGAAAACACCTGTTGAACATCGTAAGTATTTGTAGCTTAAACCTTTTGTGTCTTTGTCTCTTTTAATGTGATTGAACATTAAAAGAGACCCCAGTAGTAATAAACTGTTGTAATTTAATGTCAAAAACAATGAAGCAGAGATGAATTTGTCTGCTAAATGGAGTAATGGATTTTCTTTTGCACTTTTTTTCCTCCAGACCTGCAGCAAGATGTTGCTTTTGTTTTTCGGTCTGCTTTCTCTGACGGCAGCGGCTAAAGGTACCACATTTTACATTATTAAAGTCCCTGTAAAGTCAAAATTAAGTATGTGTTCTGAGTTTATCACACCACAGAAAAATGTGTTATTAGCCACCCAGCCAAATTTGAATGATAAAAAAAGCCAGCAGGTACATAAAATAAGCTATCAAAATCTTTAAAAAATGAGCAGTAGCCTAGTCTCTGCTCTCAAACGCTGGGGGCGTGTCCACTGCCTGCACTGAAACCACGCCCACTCGCGGGAAAGCTGCCGGTGATATAAGGGTGAAACTGCTTTCGGGACGGGAGGATGAAGGCCAAGGCGGGAGCAGTGGCATCTGGGGGCCCGTTTCAATAACTAATATGGGGCCCTACCCACATAAAACATAAACATAATAGAGCAGAAAAAGCAAGGATTCCTGTTGGTTTGCATCAATGGTATATTATTTTATTATGTGCATTGTGCACTTTCAGCTTCATGAACAGGCAGCTCAACATATGAATAATCCAACCTTATTTGATTTAAACCATATACAATTATACAGCGTTTTACGTTGGAATAAGCCTCGCCCTTTCACGCAGGGAAACTTCACTTTTGGTAGACTGAATAAAGCTTTTCTTTTGTTGTCCGATATCTTTCGTTTTTCAGCACCACTGGCATATGTACGTTTCATTTTTTCTGCTCAAAATAACATTTTAACCTAACAGCAAAAAAGGCAAAAGTATAAATATAAACTACCGATATTATACTTCAGATCACTTAAGCTGTTCGTGGAGGTGGTAAACGTCGCCATGGTAACCGCGAGTTCGACCAATCAGAGACGTCAGTGTTTTGCAAATAACAAGGATGATTTCATAGCTTGTGGCTTTTATAGGAGCAGAAACTTTCATTTCACAACCTCGTAGCTCGTGGTCAATCTACCTTGGATGGTTTAGACATTATGGATGAAAATCAATATCCTACGGAGAAAATGAATGGGATTTTGCTGGTCTGTTGGGGCCCCCCTTGGAGGGCGGGGCCTGTTTCAATTGAAACGGGTGAAACATAGGTAAGGCCGCCCCTGGGCGGGAGATAGTCGGTTCGGCCCCATTCACCAGTAACAGCGGATTGTCAGTTAATCCTAGTTGTCTCCGACGAAAGTTTATAAAACGATCCTGTGTAAAATGATCACTACAGATGCGGGTGTTGCCGGTGATCCTCTCTCCATCAAGGTGACTCTTCACAAAATTAATCCACCTCTTCTTGATGTGATCGTTTTTAAGAAATTTAAATAAAGACACCGATCTGTTTTGTTGTGATCGCATCCAGGTAGTAAGCATTTCCGTGACGATGGCATAGCTAGCTAGCAAACTGTAGGCTGTAGTATAGTACTGACAGTAACTCGCGATTGAGCGGCGAATTGTTGCGAATGTGCTCTATTGTTAGGGGAGGGGCCAGCCTCAGTGCGTCATCAAGTAGGGGCGGGGCCATGAGCTCAGGCACTCCAGTGTGTCATCGAGCCCCGTTTTAGCCCCCCCCCCCCCCCCCCCCCCCAAAAAAATCCGGAAAATAGCAATGGTGAAAAACTGTTCAACGGTCTAACTCCACAATTCATTACTTCACAGTTCACAGTCTTTGTAATATGTTTTAGCAACACATTTCTAACATTTATAATGCGTTTAGAATTTTTTTTTAGAATTACCTTTACAGGGACACGGATTATGAGCAGGATTTTGTGTGTCTAGTAAACGTTTATTTTGTGTTTTGTCTTGCAGTGGGTCTTGGTGGTAAAGTGCTTCTGTTTCCAACCCAGACGGAAAGCTTGGTTATACTCGCTCCTCAAAAGCCCCTGAGTCTCTCAGCGTTTACTCTCTGCATGCGTGTGGCGACGGAGCTCCAGGGTCAGAGGGAGATCATTCTCTTCGCCTACCGAACACCCGGTGTCGACGAGCTCAACGTGTGGAGGGAGAAAGATGGCCGCTTTTCTTTTTATATTCAGTCTGATAAAGATGGAGCGCTTTTCCGCCTGCCTCCTCTCTCCACGCTCCAGACTCACCTGTGCCTCACCTGGGACTCTGCGCCCGGTCTTGCTGCTTTTTGGGTGGATGGACGGCGCAGTGTGTTCCAGATCTATAGGAAAGGTCACTCAGTTCGTCCTGGCGGCACCGTTCTGCTCGGCCAGGACCCTGATTCAGATTTGGGCTCCTTTGACCCAGAGCAGAGCTTTGTAGGTGAAATTACAGATGTGTGCATGTGGGATCACGTTCTCTCTGGCAGTCAGATTAAGGCGTTGCATTTAAACCAGGAATGGTTTGTGACAAAGGGAAACGTGTTTGACTGGAACACCATCAAATATGAGACCATTGGAAATGTGGTAGTGGTTGAAAATAACTGATTCCTCCACACTGTTGTGTCAGTCTTTATGATCTGTTTAATGAGTTACGAAGCTGTAAAGGTTAACAAATAAATTCTCAGCATTACAACTGCTGTGTCTGTGCATCATTTGGAAGAAAGAGCTGAATGTTGAAAAAGGGGTTTTAGTGGTCTATATATTAAATTTGCATTTTACAGTACCAGTCAAAAGTTTGGACACTATTTTTAATGTTTTTAAAAGAAGTCTCTTATGCTCATCGATGCTGCATTTATTTGATCAAAAGTACAGACATTTTTTTTTTTTTTTACAATTTAAAATAATGGTATTATCTTAATTTACTTTAAAATATAATTTATTCCTGCGGTCAAAGCTAAATTTTCAGCATCATTACTCCGGTCTTCAGTGTCACATGATCCTTCAGAGATCATTATTTTTTATATATATATTCATAGAACATTAACATAAAGGCATTCGTAATTTAAAGTTTAACAAACTCAACTGAGCTTACATACAATTATCACAACACAATATACAGTCATGGCCAAAATTGTTGGCACCCCTGGTAAACAAAACTGGCTGTAAAAAATACATCTGCATTGTTTATCCTTTTGATCTTTCATTAAAAAAATTGGTAAAATTCTAACCTTGCATTGAAGAATTGACAGTGGGGGGGGAAATCACATTATGAAATACATTTTTTTCTCCAAAACACGTTGGCCACAATTATTGGCACCCTTTTATTAAATACCTTTTGCAATCTCCTTTTGCCAAGATACCAGCTCTGAGTCTTCTCCTATAATGCCTGATGAGTTTGGAGAACAACTGACCTGAGATCAGAGACCATTCCTCCATATAGAATCTCTCCAGATTCCCAGATCCATGTTTGTGCTTCTTCTCTTCAGTTCACTCCACTCATCAGGTCAGGGTCTGGGACGGTCATAGCAGAAGCTTCATTTTGTGCTCCGGAACAAATTTTTGTGTTGATTTTGATGTTAGTTTTGGATTGTTGTCCTGATGGAAGATCCAACCACGGCCCATTATAAGATTTCTAGCAGAAGGCGTCATGTTTTGATTTTTTTATCTGTTGATATTTGATAGAATCCACGATGCCATGTATCTGAACAAGAAGTCCAGGACCTCCAGCAGAAAAATATGCCCACAACATTGAAGATCCAACGATATATTAAATTGTACACATGGGGTACTTTTTATCCTTGTGTGCACCAAACCCATCTAGCGTGTTTGCTGGCAAAAAGCTCTGTTTTTAGTTTCATCTGACCACAGAAGCCTGTGCCATTTGAAGTTCCAGTCGTGTCTGACAACTGAATATGCTGGAGTTTGTTATTGGATGAGCGAGGAAGATTTTTCTTGAAACCCTCTCAAACAACATGTCTTGATGTAGGGGTTGTTTGATTTTTTTTTTTTTTTTTTTTTTTTTTTTGTGGCTTTGTGACCCCAAAGACTCAACTAATCTCTGCAATTCTCCATCTGTGATCCTTGAAGAGTCTTTGGCCACTCAAACTTTCACCCTCACCGTGTATTAAGGCAATACAGACACACGTCCTCTTCCTGGCAGATTCCTAACATCTTTAATTGATTTGAACTTCTTAATTATTGCCCTGATGGTCAAAATGGGGATTTTCAATTATTTAGCTATTTTCTTACAGACACTTTCTATTTTGT